TCCATTTTCATACAACCGTACGAACAACCTTTAACCTTCACTTCTAGTCACAGATCGAGGGTGTAGTTGACATCTTTGAACTTCTAGTAAGCTCAGGAGTTGTTCTATACCTTTGGTTGGACGTGAAACCCTCGAAAACCCGAGAACCCAAGAACCCCGATTTTGTGTATTGTTCATGCACTTGTGGTTTTGAAGTTTTCTTGGAGTTTTAAAGTTATAGGAAGCCTTAAAACATCTTCACGAAGCTCGGAGAAGAAAGTTGGAGCGTTTTGGACGTCGGGAAGTCCCAGTTCGTGAGTTTCAAATTTTGGCCGGATTATCGAGGGTTCTCCAGCGAGAATCCGTGGATTTTAGGGCTTGAAAGTGATATGAATATGTTCTTCTCATCTTAAGCTTCAATTTGGTTCAAATTTCATGAACTTTGGTGAAGAAATGAAGAAGATATTGAAGTTTTAAATTTTTCCAGTTTCCAGCGATCGCAGCGGTAACCGGCACAACCAAGGAAGAAGGAGGAGAATATTCCATCAAAATTGAGGGAATATTCTGACGTCGTCAAGTAACTTTAACGGCATATTCTGATTTTTGACGGAATATTCCCTAACGCCGTTAGGGAATCCGTTTGGTGTGCCAGGCATGTGCCTGCGCTTGGACCGCGCGTCTAGCTGTGCCTTGGCCGGCGCATGGGGTCATGAAATTTTTTTCTAAAAATATGGGGATGTTCCTGAGATTGAGTAGATCATGATGGTATATTCAAATACCCCATTTGAGCAATGTATGAGAAGTTATTTCCTAATTTTGTGTATGTGCTTTAAATAACGTTTATTCAGTTATTTTGCATATAGGTGAGACCTATCCTGAAGACGAGGGCCATCAATCGAGGCTCGGGGGCTACGACCCTTTGACATTCAATGAGTGGGCTTTTGGTTTTCCGTATATACCTATATACTTGAGTTTTTCGCAGAAAATGAAATTGAATAATTATACATTTTGAAATGCCATGCAAAGTATCTGCCTATTTTATTTATGCATTAGCAGTTGCATATATTTATGATTGGTGCTGCAGACGCACAGGTAAGTGCCAGGTAAGTTCATGAATTAAAGATATGAGATTGCTTCAGTTATGTGAGATATGATGTGATGCATTGAGAGCTCATAAACCTGCACCCCGGTGTTAGTGCTCCTGCCCAGAGTTAGGGTATAGTCCTTCACATGATGTTCACCTCCCGCACCATATGTTCACCTTGAATCCAAGTTAGGTGCACAGGCTTGTCGTACAGATCATTATAGGTGGTTCCGACTCGTAGGTGATCGACGATCATTTGCATAGTCTTCACGTGATCGTAGCACTAGAGCATATTTATTTTACACTTAGTCTTGTCGTACATACCACTTTAGGTGGTTCCGACTCGTGTGCAGGATTTGATATGATTGAGATTGGTTATGAGTTGTAGACTCAGCTGTGCAGGTCACGTTAGGTGGAGCCGGCTGATATGATATCTGGCATTGATATATTTAACTGAATTACTTATTACATTTCATTGAGATACTTTGGCATGGTATATTTCTATGGATTTTCATCCTGAGCATGATTTTTGATATAGCATATATATTTTTTGGGAAATTATACCGGTTTTATGGCGAGGGGTTAGAACTTTTGAAAAATGAAATGATTTTGAAAAACTTTGTTTTTATCCACTCACACTTTTTGTTTTGCGCCCCTCCAGGTTTTAGGTAGAAGTGTTTGGTGGATCACGAGGATTTCGACGGGGGTTCTGACAGAACATCATTAATGTAGGATCACCTTTAGGTGTTGTATAATTAGTACTTGTCTTGCTTGATTGCATCTAGGATATTTATGCTCTGGTTGTGTATTTCACATTTGATCTCGCACTAGCACTTTATCTTAGCTAGTATTGCTAGTAGTTTGGTTTTTATTCATTCGTATTTCCCTTATATCCTTATTGTTTCTGCACTGTGCACATGGTTATGTCACTCCCACATGACATCTAACACGCTCTGATTTAGGTCGGGGTGTGTCAAAAATCGCATAAAATTACTTTTCTAAATATCCTAATGATAGCTAAGCATTAAGACAAATAGATAGTTTCAAACACGGTGATTAATAATTTGAAACCAACATGCATAATATCATAAGTAAATAAAAAATAAACTATATATTCTTGTGAAGACTTGTGGCCTCGCCTTAGCAAAAGAGAATTAGTTATGCATAATCATAATAAAAAAATTATCATTAAAAAATGATAGAAAACACCTTGTAAAACAAAGTTGAATCTTCAAAAACTCTCTAAGCATAGTTCTCCAAGGTAGTACATAGAGAACCGTAATGGCTGAATAGCCTTATTTATACTATTATAAAATAAAATCTTTCCTAGAAAATGTTTTCTAAAAACTAGAAACAAAATAAGTTAACGTAAACTAGGAAACATAATCCTAATCAATTATGGAAAATCAGCTTGGTAGAGTATTAGCCACGGTTATGGACCATCATAGCTCCAAATCATGCCCAAAATGACTTGAATTAAAGCTTATGATGTTCTGAACATATTTGCAAAAGAGCCTTAAAAGGCCATTTTGGATGCCAAAAATCCCAAATAAGCCCAAATGTGACTTTGACAACATTGCACGCTGCTCATTTATTTCATCGCTATAAATAAACTACTTGGTAGAAAAATCTGATACTTTGATATTAACAAGTTGAAAGACTTGTGAACACCCTCCAATTGGAATCACTCCAAAGTTCATCTGTTTGATTACTTTTTACTCAAGAAGAAGTCACATATCCTACATTGGAAATAAACTCAAAACGTCATCAAAACATACTAAGAATAAAGTAGAATATATAGTATTAAAAGGACTCATCAATGTCAAAAGATGGAAATTTGTAAATGGACAAGAGATGGGTTCTACATTTCGTCCCACCCCATTTGTTGTCATCAGGCATTACAAATATTGGACTGCAAGAGCAAGAGTCCGCCTTCCTCTGATACGACCGAGAGGACGGTTTTACTATGATACGACCGATGATGCTGCTACAGTAGACATATACGTGATGGTCACCAAAATAAAAGTTCCAAGAAATTCTAATAAAATAATATTTTCCTGATTCTGAGGAAATTGAACAGATACTTACTGGCTCTGACAAAAAGCACTACTCTTGTTGCTTCTTCAATTTGTTTTATGAGAAGGGGTGGTGAATAACTGATCCACTTTTCACTTCACAACTTTGAACTTTGAACCAACGTTCTTTTCACTTGGCAATTTCCCACCAAAAGCTTAAGAATTAATCCACTTAGAAAATAGAAGATCCTTTTTTTATTGATTTGTGAGTGGTAATAGAAGATCCTTTTCCTTAAACTGTTTCCATCACTCTTTTTATTCTTGCTATGAATTTTATATAATCTACAAAATGATACCAGCTAGCATAATTCTGTACTTTGAAAGAGGTTATGACCCAAACTTTCCGCAGCTTACTCTCCCCTTTTTGAAAAAACAAATAAATAGTGAACCGGGGCCAACAAATTGTGAACACTACGGACTAAAGTCCCTTATGATAAACTTTTTTATTTTAGTTTTAGTTATTATTATTATTATTATTATTTTGAGATAAGAAAAAATTGTATAGGAGAAATGAGGGAGTAAGAAGTGTTATAATAAAGAGGGGAGAAATAAGAAAGAATAAATGAAAATAAAATCTTGAAAGCGAAAACAATTCAGAATAATTTTTGGTTTTTGGTTTTTAGTTCTCATTTTGTATGTGTTTACTTGTACTTTTCTTACATATATCACACACAACATCTTTCATCCACTCTTCTTCATTTCTTCTTTCCCCTAAGTAAATGTGGAGTGTAGTCAACAAAATGTGGGATGTGTATAAAACAACCCAAACCAAAATTAAAAAGCAAATGTTATTAAACGAGCCCAAAACATTTTTCATAGCCAATTAGTAAAACACATTTGATCATAATTTATGAGATAAGCAATAAACTATGGGTATTTCTACATTGCATTCTCTAAACTACGAAGGCTTGGAAATACTATTATCATGGCCTACTGAGTGATATATTCGACATAGTGAGTGCTGGACTCCACTTTGAGGTTGTGTATGGTATGGTGTGCACAAAGAAATTATATATAAGAAATGATTTCTACATACTTTTTTTTCTGAACAATTACATTCATTTTTGTCCGTTATCTTTCTCATTTGATTTTTTTTTCAGTTTGAAGACAAAATATAAACAATAGTGTGTGAGGAATAAAGAGTAAAAATCATTGGATCATCTAATAGGTAATTAATTTGTAAATGTTTGTATATTAAGTTAATGTATTTAAAAAATAAATAAAATAAAATAACCGGTAATATTAGTTTGAATGAACGGTCACGGAAATACCTTGAGCAATAATGTTCCTGGGTTTCACGCCTCCATGCAAGCTGTTCTCTCCCTAACTTTTATGGTTCCCATCTGTGTCTCGTGCCCATGAATGTCCGATTAAATAAAAACAAACCTAACTCTGCAATCAAAAGAGAAAAGTTGAAATATCGGAGACCACCTAAGAAAACATATACGTGTCACATTTCTGATGCTGATTATGCTAATTACCAATTAGTATATGAATTAATCCCATCAAAGTATCTCTAGGAAACCAGCAATGACTTTTCTGGCAAGTTGTCTCTTTCACAGTATATTTTATATAAACGCACAACCCAGATCTCACTCATTCTGAGCTACACGTGTCATACTTGTGACGACCAATATGATACGACAAAGTGTTAAGTTTCATGCAATAGATGTATACAATACAATTATGAATTTAAAATGCCCCACGGCAGAATGTATATTGCGTGATTAACTATAAGGGGGATTGTTCATACAGCTTTTCTGTACATAACGCAGAATTTTTCTACTACTAGTAAGACCATTAATATCTCAAACATTCTCGGGCTATAAGTATCTGCTTCCTTAACCTGCTTAAGGTTTACCTTTTAGTAGAGAGAGAGAGAAAGAGAGAGAGAGAGAGAGAGAGAGAGAGAGATCAATAATGAGGATTGTTCGTATGTGGAAATCTTTGTCTAGGACCAGGTCTGTCCATAATCATCAAGAACAACATGACCACCAAGAATACAAGGCTACTGGTAATAGTACTTCCGAGGCTTGCACATCATTAACAGTGTGGAGAAAATCCCTTCTAATTAGCTGTAAAGGGTTCACAGTCATCGATTCAAATGGAGATCTTGTTTATCGAGTGGACAACTACGTCGGACATCCTGAGGAAGTCATTCTCATGGATGGCTCTGGAAAGTCTGTCCTCACAATGCGTCGCCGAAAGGTAAATGTATTCCCAATTGTATATATCGTAATTGTGTGTGTGTGTGTGTGTGTGTGTGTGTGAGTGTGTGAGTGTGTAAATATACACCAGTTTCTTAGTCATCTGATGGCTGGTGACCAAGTATACATGGTCACCCTCAATCGTTTTTTATATCAAGTTTGAAATTAAAACACATTTTTCATTCTTTATCTTGATATTAAATTCATGTGATCATAGATGTAGTAAATCAGAGTCATGAGGTTCAGATAAAACTCAACTTGAACAATTACTCAAGGAGTCTCACAACATAAAATGCAGAATTTTATGTTGTCGACTGTTAGAAAAAAGAGAATATTTTTTTGAGCTTGTATAACCTCATAAATTAACAAGTATATCTATAATAAAAGAGAGTTAAAAAAAAAAAACAAATTTGTTTGATCTTGGCATCAGTTTGCTTGGCAGAAGCTTAGTCTACATCCGTTCTCTTAGTCACTTGGTGCTGGTGGTCTAGTATACAAGGTCACCAAACACTAAAATCACAATTGTATATTCTCCACCTTTGATATCAAATCTAAGGGTAGATGTGTGACCATGATTTCCTTGATTGCCATGTGACTCAACATGAGTCTTGCATATCATAAGATGCAGAAATATATGTTGCCAGATTGTTAAAAAAAAACAAAAAACATTTTTTGAGCTTATATATACTCATAAATTAAACAAATATATAAGAATAGAGTAGTAAAAGAACAATTGTGCTTGATCTCGATTCTTAACTAACTATTTTTCTTTGCAGAAGCTTAGTCTAATTGATACTTGGTTTGTGCACGACGGGGAAGCTGGCAATTGTTACCCAACAAGATCAACATTTGCAGCATCAAAAAGTATGCCAACGTTTTACGTGAGGAAGAACAAGAACATGCTAAATACCAATCCCAGGAGTATACTTGCTTATGTGTATCGAGAGGCATGTGGCCACAAAAGGCATACATATATGATTGAAGGTTCTTTCACGCACAGATCATGCAAGGTATTAGATGAGTCGAGGAATGTGGTGGCTGAGATCAAGAGAAAGGAAGCAAATAATGGAGGTGTTTCTTATGGATTAGATGTTTTTCATTTAATTGTGCATCCTGGCTTTGATTCTGGACTTGCAATGGCTCTTGTATTAGTATTAGATCAATTGTTTTCTTAGGTTTATTTTCTATCAATTCATTGATATGTATATATGTTGGACGAAATATGGTTTTCCATACAAGTCCTTATGTCAATTACTACTGAAGAGATCTCAACAAATAAGGATAATATGGAATGCACATATATTGACAAGTCCCGACCTAAATCAGGGCGTGCTGGCCATCACGTGGGAGTGACGTAACCATGTGCATAGTGCATAAGCAATAAAGATATAAGGGAAATATGAATAAATAAAAATCAAACTACTAGCAGTACTAGCTAAGATAAAGTGCTAGTGCGAGGTTAAATGTAAAATACACAACCAAAGCATAAATAGCCTAAGTACAGTCAAGCAGAACAAGTACTAATTTACAACACCCAATGGTGATCCTACATTTATGATGTTCTGTCAGAACTACCATTGAAATCCCCGTGAGCCACCAAAGCACTTCTACCTAAAATCTGGAGGGGCACAAAACAGAAAGTGTGAGTGGGCAAAAACAAAGCTTTTCAAAATTATTTCATTTCTCAAAAGTTCTAACCCCTCACCGTAAAACCTGTATAATTTCCCAGAAAATAATAGTAATAATAAGTTGTATCATAAATCATACTCGAGATGAAAATCCATAGAAGTATACCATGCCAGAGTATCTCAATGCAATGCCATGAGTAATCTAGACAAATATATCAATGTCAAATATCGCATCAGCCAAATCCCTCTAACTCAATCTGTACGGCTGAGTCTATAGCTCATAATCAATCTCAATCACATCAAATCAAATCTTGAACACGAGTCCAAACCACCTAAAGTGGTCTGTGCGACAAGACTAGGTGTGAAATAAATATGCTCTAGTGCTATGATCACATGAAGGTTGTGCGAATAATCGCGGGTCACCTACGAGTCGAAACCACCTAAAATGGTCTGTACGACAAGCCTGTGCACCTAACTTGGATCCAAGGTGAGCATATGGTGCGGGAGGTGAACATCACATGAAGAACTGTGCCCTAACTCTGGGCAAAAGCACTAACACCAGGATGCAGGTTTATGAGCTCTCAATACATCACATCTTATCTCGCATAACTGAAGCAATCTTATATCTTTAATTTATGAACTTACCTGGCACTTACCTGAGCGTCTGCTATACCAATCATAAATATATGCAACTACTAATGCATAAATAAAATAGGCAGATACTTTGCATGGCATTTCAAAACGTATAATCATTCAAATTCATTTTCTGGGAAAAATCTCAAGTATATAGGTATATACGGAAAACCAAAATCCAACTCAGTGATATGTCGAAGGGTCATAGCCCCCAAACCTTGATTGATGGTGCTCGTCCTCAAGATATGTCTCACCTATATGCGAAATAACTGAATAAACGTTATTTAAGCACATACACAAAACTAGGAAATAACTTCTCATACATTGCTCAAATGGGGTATTTGAATATACCACCATGATCTACTCAACCTCAAAAATATCCCCATATTTTTAGAAAAAAAATTCATGACCCCACGCGCCCTCACGCACCGGCCAAGGCATGGCCAGACACGCGGTTCACATGCAGGCACGTGCCTAGCACACCAAACGGATTCCCTAACGGCGTTAGGGAATATTCTGTTAAAAACTAGAATATGCCGTTAATTATACCTGACGGCGTCAGAATATTCTGTCAACTTTGACGAAATATTCTTCTCCTTCTTCTTTGGTTCGCCGGTGCCGCTGCTATAGCTAGAAACTGGGAAAATAATCAAACCTTCATATCTTCTTCGATTCTCAACCAAAATTCACAAACTTTGTACCAAAATGAAGCTTACAATGAGTAGAACAAAACCTTACCAATTTAAAGTCCTGAAATCCATGAGATTTCGCCAGAGAAACCTTGATAATCCGGCCAAACTTGAAACTTGCCAAACTCAACTTCCCGACGTCCAAAACACTTCATTTTTCTACTCCAAGCTTCACAAAGACGTCCTAAGGCTCACTAGTAGCTTAAAATCTCCTAAAAACTTCACATTCACGATCACATGAACATTGCCTCAAAACTGGGATTTCTGGTTCTCGGGAAAACAAGGTCTTCACGTCAAACTAAGGGCATGGATGACCATCTGGACTCATGAGGAACACATAAACAACCTCATCGATGTCAATCCGTGAAGATAGGGTCTGGTTTGGGTGTTGTCCATACAAGTGTATGGAAATGGCAGAAAATTCGAGGGAATGAGAGATAGAAGGTCAATGGGAAAGGGTTTGTGTGAATGTGTGTGGTCCAGCTGAGTCACCAATCAAAACAAACAAAAGTTTAAGTTTTAATTAGGTCCAATTAATTAGGAATAGAGCTAACTGGCCCCTTTTTTTTCTTAGCCCAATCTACACAACACCACGTAATGTTCAAGGGTACTTTAGTCTTTTCACACCGCCGATGAAATAATTCGGGATAGACTGTGACAACCTACCCCCTTAAGAAAAAATTTTCCCCAAAATTTTCACAATAATTACAATCCACTAACAATCATAAAACAACCTTGGATACATATCTTTCATCTGATCCTCTGTCTCCCAAGTGGCTTCTTCCACCAAGTGATTCCTCTACAAAACCTTCACTAGGCGCACTGTCTTATTCCTCATAACTTTATCTTTCCAATCCAATATCGTCACTGGCTCCTTATCATAAGTCAAATTTGGATTAATTTACAATGGTTGAGGAGGTATCACATGAGAAGGATCTGAGATGTAATGATGGAGCATAGAGACATGAAAAACATTGTGCACTTTGGATAACTCAGGAGGCAACTCAAGTCTATAAGCAACCTCACCGACTCGTTCGGTGATCATATACAGTCCAATATACCTAGGACTCAGCTTGCCTTTTTTCCAAACCGTACTACACCTCTCCATGGCGATAACTTTAGAAATACCCAATCACCTACATTATACATCCGGTCAGTAGCATGTCTGTCTGCTAGACTCTTCTGTCGATCCTGGGCTACTTTCAGGTTAGACTTAATCACCTGAACATTATGCGTAGTCTCATCCACGATCTCAGGGCCCACCAAAATTCTTTCACCAACCTCCGACCAACACAAAGGTGTACGACAAGATTTACCATAGAGTGCCTCAAATGGTGACATACCAATACTTGAATGAAAGCTGTTATTGTAGGCAAATTCCATCAAATCCAACCGCTTATGCCAAGCATCACCAAGAAGATCTCAGCATATCTTCCAACGTCTAAATAGTCCTCTCTGATTGTCCATTTGTCTGAGGATAATATGTTGTACTATAAAGTAATCTTGAACCAAGAGCTTCCTGGAATGCTATCCAGAACTCAGAAGTGAATTTAGGATCCCGATCCAAGATAATACTAATTGGAATCCCATGGTACTTCACGATCTTCGATATAAATAATTCAGATAATCGGCTTAAAGGATATTTCTCCCTCACAGGAATAAAATGTGCTGACTTAGTAAGTTGATCAACTATCACCCAGATGCCATCATAACCATTACGTGTACGAGGAAACTTGTACACAAAATCCATAGTAATATTTTCCCATTTCCACTGTGGAACGAGAAGTGGCTGCATCAAACCAAAAGGCTTCTTTCTTTTCTCTTTGACTTGCTGACAAATGACACACCAACTCACATATTCAGCAATTTCTCTTTTCATACCTGGCCAATAGTAAAATGGTCGAATGGTATGATACATTTTAGTACCTCCTGGATGCATTGCATAAGCTGAAATATGTGCTTTATCAAGAATTTCCTTCTTTAATTCCATATTATTCGGCACGTACATCCTACTTTCCTACATAAGCATGCCATCAGTTTCCCAAATTCTGAAGTCTTTCTTTTTCCCCTGATTCCTTGCTTGAATTATTTCTTGGGTCTCTTCATCATCCATCTTGGCTTCAAGTACACAATCAATTAAAAATGGCCTGACTTGAAAATTAACAAGTAAGGTTTCCTCTCCATCTTGGATATACACAATCAACGATATCTAATGGGATAAGATTAGCTGGCATAACCACCTCCTCTACCATCACTGGACATCCTGGATATACACAATCAACATAGCATCTCTCCCCTTTAGGCATAGCAAACTCTAAATCATACCCTAGAGGCGTAGGATGAGGTTGCGTCACTTGAGCAAATGTATGAGAAATGACAGAATGCGTAGCACCACAATCAATTAAAACTCTAGCAAAGTGACCAAGAATGTTTAACGTACCCATGATCAAGTCCGGATAATTCTGAGCATTTTGCAGAGATATATTGTTAATACGTCCCTGGGCTTGTTGTCGTCCCCCACGACCTCTATTAGCTTGATTTCCACGTCTCTGCACACTTTGCCCCTGATTTAGCTGACCAGATTGCCTTAAAGATCATGCACTGCTGGAAGCAATCTCTACCTGTTGGGGCTGTCCTCCCTGGTACCACTGAGATCTACCAGCTGGAATGGGAGGATATTGTGTATACCCTCCAGGATATTGAGAATGCCCACTCTAGTAATAAGGATCCTGCAAATACTAATACTGCCCTGAAGCATAAGGAGCAGCATCGCCCTAATAATGGTAAGCATCACCTCGACCCATCTGACCATAACTACCAGACCCTGGAACTTGCTAGATCGGGGCCGGTGATGGCATAGAAGGTTGCTGAGGCCTCTGATAACTCTGGGGACAATTTATAGCTCTATGTCTCATCTGCCCACAAGTAAAACATCCACTGTTACCTCTCCTACACTCCCCAAAATGCCTATTATTACATCGGCGGCACAAATGAGCATTTCCTCTTCCAGAATCTCCCTGCCTTTAGAATCTAGGACTTCCTAAAAATCTACCACCTCTCCTCTGACCAGTGGCACTAAAACCTCCCCTAGAAGAACTGGAACTAGTTCCACTTCTCTTAAAACTCTGAGTCTTGCAAAGTCCTTGAGAATACTGACCTTTACCTTTATCATCTCGCCTTTGATTCCCATTCTTTTCTTCTTCTTCTTCACTTTCATTGGGCATATTCTCTGAGTCCTCAATCCTCAACAAAATCTCATAAAACTCCTAGTAAGTAGCACAGGGAGTCGAGGTTGCTATAGAACGCCATTTCTTTTTAGTACCCAACCTGAAACGATGGAGCATCTCAACTAGATTAGCAACAACCACTGGATGATAGCGAGACAAGTCAGTGAATCTCCTATAATACTTATTTGCCGTCATCTTCCCCTGCTTTAATTGAGTAAACTTTTGCTTTTTGCGATCAATATACTCAGGGGGAATAAATCTTTTCTGAAACAACTGTTTAAACATTTTCCAGTCAGCTGCTTCCTTTGGGACAACTGATAGGACTCTTGTCTCCACTAGGATGCAGGTTCCGGACCCAGAAACCAGGTAGTCATCTCGACCCACCTATCAGGAGGAAGATTCCCCTGACTCTACATTACACGGAAAGTCTTC